GGTGCCTTTGCAATACTTTCTACATGATATATAGAAACATAATTCCTTTAACCATCTGGTGACCTTATAATATGTAAGCTCAGGAAATTTATTACTCATTGCTAATGATTTATTTGTAGATATATTTGGAACTCTCAGATGCATTACCATAATATCTGAGTTAATACTTTTTGCAGGCTTTTCCAATTCTTGTGCCCATAATTCTGCTTTGCTGAATTTTTGCACTGGCAGCCAGGATGGTGTAAAACAAAACTGGTGTTGGTGGTCATCTTTGTTTCATTTGTGATTGGCAAAAAATGTTCAAGCTTGGTATTACACTGTCAAGTTTCATATCCTAAGTAGATTTCAGAAGATTTTTAAAAATATAACATTAGGGAAGTTTACTCTATATTTTTATTTATGTATGAGTTTTGACATAATTACATTTATGTTTCGAATAAGATAATTTCTCTGTAATGATTCTTCTTTTTAAAATTTGTATTAGAAGGGTGATGTGCAGGGAGGTTACAGTTGCATAAGTCAGGTAGAGTACATTTCTTCTTGAACACTGTCACTCCTTCCCTGGCTTTTTTTCCCTTCCCAGTTTTTCCCTTCCCAGTTTTTCCCTTCCATCCCCACCCAAAAGTTGTACAGTTCATTTTCAACATAGTGTCTCTTGAATTCCACTGTTGCATTTACTCACCCTTTGTCCCTCATTTCTCTGCATATTATCCATAAGAAGTATTATTTTTCATGCCTGGGTAATTCTTGGACTGTCCTCCTTTGTTTACAATTCAGTGAAGCAATGAAACAAAATAGAGTGCCATGTTGTCCACATCACAGAAAGCACTGTGAATGGGAAGGGGAAGATGGTAGGAAAACTCTTTGGCTATGTCACCTGTCATATCTGGAGATGTGGATTCAATAAACAAAAGCAATGACCAGAAGCAGCTCCTCCTGGAGGAAAATACTCTATGACACAGACATAGACAGGAATAAACATTAAAAACTAGGGTTCGTGTCTTTTCTTCAGCATTAGTGTGATGCAAACTAAAAACTGTAAATATTGTTGTCAATAGATGTTTCCAACTGAAAGCCAGATATGAGTTTATGTTTTTATATTACTAATCACCTGTTCTAGTATATTAATTGGTATACATCAATTGTACAATTTGAGGTACTTCCTACATGTGTACAATATACTTTGACTATGTCATTTTTTTCCCTTCATTTTCACAATACTAAAGTTTAAATTCAGGGCCTGCTCATCTGGCTCTTATAACATATGAAGTCTCGCTTACTGCTGGGGTGTTACATCTCTGCATCATGCCTAAGGAGCAGGCTACAGTTTTTCTGTTTCTGTCTTGATCTTGTCTTGTTCTGTTTTGATAAGAATTGGTACTCATTTGTAGGGGGATCCTTCTTTAGCGTGTCATGGTTCCAACTTTATACTTTGGGCTTTCTTATGGGAAGAGAAGGGGGGAAGTGCAGATGGCCCTGGGCCTGGTTTGGACCCTTAGTTAACCTTGGTAGTTTGGAAGCTTATCTTCCACCAAAAAAGCCACAAGTGAAGCTGTGGCTCATGTGGTAGAGTGCTAGCCTTGAACAAAAAAGCTCAGTGTTCCAACCCAGTCCCTGCCATCAGCACACTCACTCACACACACACATATACACACACACACATAAACACACATACACACACACACACACACACACAAATGATACATACAGAAACTTCAGCTACTTTCAATCTACCTTTGGCTAAAGAAAAATCATTTCCTCATTATAACTCAGGTGTCAGGTTCATTTTTTGGACAAGGATATGCCACTGCAGGGCTAAAGATATAACCCATCCGCGCCCAGTCTCATAAGCAGCTCCATAGTTAAAACCATCAGTTAAAACAAATTAAAAGTTCTCTGTTTGTACTGTTTTTCAATATTCATGTTAATCACTGATTTCAAAACAAATAAGAGTTTCATAATTGCAGTATCCATTGATTAAAATGAGGGTTAGGACCCCTTTGTGTTTTTTATCTTGAGAACTTGCAAATACTTTATGATGAATGAACTCTTTTTCCAGGACAAAACTAAACAGTAACTTTTTGAGTTCATTCATCAAATAGAGTTTGTAATTCACAGAGCTCTGAACTCCAAACCATTACAATTTAGTTTAAGATTGACAGAAGAAAATCTTCTATTTTGGATAAACTATATTTGGTGGCTATTTTGTAGATTATCTACCTTATTCCCTATGAGTATTCCCACTCTTCTCTTTATGTCATGAGGCAAAGAAGGGTTTTGAAGGGTTTTACAATAGATAAATGATATATGACATACTGCACGTTCCAAGAAATGTGTATAGTTACCCGATTTAAATACTGTATAGTGTATACAATTATTAAAAACCTAACATGGAGCTTGGGTCCAGTGGCACTTGCCAGTATTACTAACTACTCAGAAGGCTGAGATCTGGAGGACTGCAGTTTGAAGTCAGCCCCCGCAGAAATGTACATGACACTCAATCTCCAAAATTACTAGTGAATCAGGCTACAGGGATGTTTCAAGTGGTAGAACAACACCAAAGAAAGTATGCCAACAAAGGATGGAATCCTGAGTGCAAACTCCAACTCCACCAAAAATAAAAACATGGGGCTCCTTAAGTATAATATTTATATTTTATATATTATTTATTTCAAATATCAAACAATCCTATCCAATTTTTCCATATCTTGAAAGTTTGACTGGCATATTTTTCAACAGGAAAACAGCAAGTTGTACAAAATGCTTTTTTAGGGGCTGAGTAGCAGGTTTGGGGATCAGTGTGGGACCCGGGCACAGTCCTTGAGCTTTTTGCTCAAGGATAGTGCTTTATCAGTTGAGCCACAATACCACTTCTGGCATTTTCGTGATGAATTGGAGATAACATTCTCATGGACTTTCCTGCCTGGGCTGGCTTGGAACCCCAATCCTCTGATCTCAGCCTCCTGTGTAACTAGGACTACAGGCGTGAACTACAAGTACCTGTTCAATATACTCTTATAGTGAGCCAATTTTATGGAAAACCATATATAATGTATGCTTATGTCCTGTATAAATACATCTTGTATATATAAACAGGCATAACGATCCACTGATACATGTACAGATTGTGTATGCATCTAGGCCCAAATATATGAGATTAAAAATTGCTATGTACATATGATCATATAAGATGATGCTAAGCAAAATGAACCCAAGATATGCGCACAAGAGGTTTTTCTTTGTTGTTGGTGTTTTTGTTTTTTTTAACAATTACATTAGCAAGGTAATGCGTACATTTCTCTTTTTGTGTTTTTTAAATTTATATATATTTTTTAATTGTGAAAATACCGTACAGATGAGTTACAATTACATGGGCAAGATAAGGTGTACATTTCTTCTCAAGCATTGTTGCCTCTTCTTTGTTTCCCCTTCCCCTTCCTTCCCATACTGCCCCCACCTTCCCACACCCGCTCCTCCTCCCCCCACCAAAGTTGAAAAGTTCATTTTTCGACATAATGACTTGTACATCTCATTGTTGCAATGGTTCCACCTGTAATTTTTTTGTTTCTTTGGTATGTTCTTCCCACTATGATATATCCCCTGTTGTCAGTGTATTTGATTTTGGTTCCCTGCATCTTGTATATACTTTTATATAATTTTGGGAGGGGATGGGAAATGATAAGATGCTGAAACGAGGACACAGGGTAACCCACAGCAACAATGACACTCACAAGACACTGTTGGAAATGAACTTTACAAGTTCTGTGGAAGGGAGGATTGGGGGAGGTGAGAGAGAGAAAGGATAGTAGGAAAATATCAAAGAATGGGTTAACAATGTTCGACAAGAACATTGTTCTTGTCTCATTACCTTTCTCATGTAACAGTAACCTCTCTGTAAGAAGCTTTACAATAAAATAAAATTTAAAATAAAATCCTGGATCAAGGGGTTTCCTTTTAGGAAAGAGTCCACCACAGATATAATGAATGACGGTACTTCTCATGTGATACATGGCAAGGTAGAAGGAAGGGAAAATTGTGTGTTAATGTACAATTGTGAAAGTTTGAAGAATGAAATGGGAGGAGTGATTTCAGTGCCCTTATTATCATTGACATCACATTTATGTTGAGTGTAAAACAATGTTTACAAAGTAGAAAAAATAGATGCAAGAAATGGTCCAATTAGTAGAGTTCTTGTGTAGGAAGAACAAAGCCCTGAATTTAAAACTTAGTACTGCCAAAAGTGAAGGAAAAACTGGTATGCTCAAACTAAATTGTATGCAGCTATGAAACATCTTAAAATGTACAATTGATGTGCATAAATAAAAATAATAGAGCAAATGATTATCAATATCTGGCTTTCAGTTGCAAAGATCAATTGACAAGAATACTTTGATTTTATTTTTTGTTCATACTAACACCAAAATAAAGATGTGAACACTAGCCTTTAATGTTTATTCTGTCTATGTCTGTCTCATATATTTTCCTCCAGGAGGAGATATTCTGCATATTGCTTTTGTTCGTTAAATCCACATCTCCAGATATGACAAGTGACGTAGCTAAAGGGTTTTCCTACCATCTCCCCCTTCCCATTCCCAGTGCTTGCTGTAATGGGGTCAACATGGGACTCTAGTTTGTTTCATTGCTTCACTGAATTTTGAACAAAGGAGTACAGTCCAAGAATGACCTAAGGCACGAAAAATAATATTTATTATGTATGATATACAGAGAAAGCATTCTGACCTGTCACACGGTAATCATTTTTTGGTTTTGTCATACTAGCATATTAGTCAACAGCATTAGAGAAGTATTGGCAGGTGGAGTGGTGAATAAAACTATTATAAAGCATAAGAGATATTGGATGCCATAGTGCAATTACACAGCAATCCCTTCAAAATAGAGAACGGATCTTCCTGGATCTGGAGGGAGAGGGGAGATGTGGCAGGGGAAGGAGGTGAACTGCAGATTGCTGCACAGCTGGAGCCAGACAGCAGAGCTCTTCTTTACACTGGAATGAAACAGAGCTTGTATGCTGGTGGCAAAGAGGCAAGCCCATTCAGAACAGGAGTGGTATCCAGGTCCCGTGGATCCACGAGAGGTTTCAGGTTGAAGTTCTGTAAAATGGTGGTTAGGAATAAAAACAGCTCCATGCGGGCCAGGCCTTCTCCAACACAAATCCGTTTCCCTGAAAATTTTGTAAAAAAAACCCCAAAAAACAAAAAACAAGTCAAAGCAAGAAATGACCCCATGCATATAAGTGTGAGAGTGTGAAGCATTGCATTTGTAACTGGTAAAAGAATGTGTCAATGTATTGAAAGCCTTGAGTTCAAACTCCAGTAATGCAAATCTTTTTTAAAAAAAAAGAAACTTTGACTGAGCACTAGTCCCTCACGCCTTTAATCCTAGCCACTCAGGAGGCTGAGATCTGAGGATCACAGTTCCAAGCTAGCCCAGTCAGGAAAGCACCCATGAGACTCTTATCTCCAATTACCCACTCCAAACTGGAAGGAGTACTGTGACTCAAGTGGTAGAGTGCTTGCCTTGAATACAAAGAGGCTCAAGCACAGTGCCCAGGCCCTGAATTCAAGCCCGACAACCAAGAAAGGTAGGAAGGAAGGAAGGAAGGAAGGAAGGAAGGAAGAAAGGGAGGGAGGGAGGGAGGGAGGGAGGGAAGGTGAGAGACAGAAAGAGAAAGAAAGACGAAAGAAAGAAAAGAAAGAAAGAGAGAAAGAAAGAAATACGAAAGAAAGAAAAGAAAGAGAGAAAGAAAGAACAAAAAAAGAACAAAAGAAAGAAAGAAAGAGAAAAAGAAAGAAAGAGAAGGGAAGGAAGGAAGGAAGGGAAAGAAGGAAAGAAAGAAAGGAAGGAAGGAAAAAAGGAAGGAAGGAAGGAAAAAAGGAAGGAAGGAAGGAACGAAGGAAGGAAGGAAGGAAGGAAGGAAGGAAGGAAGGAAGGAAGGAAGGAAGGGAGGGAGGGAGGGAGGAAGGGAAACTTTGAACTTTAGTTAATAATAATGTGCCATTATTGATTTCCTTATTATAGTGAATGTACCATACTAATGTATGGCACAGTTAGGGGAAAAGAGGAGTAAGCATGTAAGAACTCTAGGGACTTCTCGATTTCTCTGTAAATCTAAAAACTGTTCTTGGAAAATAAAATTGACAAGGCCATACTAAAGCCACCAGCAAAAAAAAACAATGTGTCAATGTGCCTTCAGTGAATTACCGAATGCACAGAGATCAGGAAAGCTGTACAGATACCTGGGAATATGTAATCTTCACTAATACATTCATTTGTTTTTTTTTAAATCTGAGAATGGTAGCACAGGCACACACAAACTTGTTAGTCTAACACAGGAGATTAATGCAGAAGAATCTTGAGTTGATAACCACTTTTGTCTTCTCTTCCCTCTTTTCTCTTTCTCTATGCCAGGTTGTGGGTTGCCAAATTATTATATCATTACTCTAATATGTTCTCTGCTAAAGGAGAGGATCATAATTCTGGAAGATCTTTTGGCTTCCAATTGTACTTTTTTCCTGTGGTTGAGATAAGGATTTAATACAGTCTGTCCTCAACCTTAAGACTTACTCCCATCCTTCTCTTTTAGTATTATCCCTACTAATCAGAAAGGACTGTGATCATGTGTTTTGGGATTTCCTCTAAACCTTTGTAACTATAGAATAGTAAATATGTAGGAGTGCAGGACATAGACCTACCCATGACTCCAAGTGGAATTCATCACATGTAAAAATAGTGGTAGGAAATACTGCTTTCCAAATCAACTCAGAAGTCAAATCTTGACACCGTCATTAACCACCCATGTGGGGTAAGTTAGTAAAATATCTGAGCCTTATTTTCTCCTAATATTAAATGGGGATGCTAATAATTCCTTCATGAAATGTTGGTGAGAAATTAAAATAAGAATAGATTAGGATTTATTACAATTTTAATCAAAATTTCATTATTTATTTATAAAAAGTTTGAGTCTCAGTTTTCAATGATACACTTTGCATGTTTTAGAGACACCTATGATTTTCTAAGAAAACCCATTCATATTGCTCATATGAACTGTCCCCAGAAAAATGATGAACACTTTTTGCATTTTAATATTGACAGCCCAACTGTCGATTTTATCAGCATACATAAAATTACAAAGTTTAATTACAAAATTGCAAAGTTTACTATATCATGAAATTCCTTTTGGCTATGATACATTTCCCCTACAGACATCAAGACACAGACCACATTTCATGTCCTTTCTTGTGCTCTTTGTGTCCCTTCAAGCCATAAAATCCTGCCCTCATTCAGCTTCCCAAATATCATATTCAGATTTTCACTGACACTCAAATCATTTGAAACCATAATTTTCTCATTATTTAAAATGTTTCCCTTTGTGTAAAAAAGAAGTGAATTTTTGAAGAGAGATCACTGCCTTTCCCCATGGTATCCATATGACAGATGTAAAGCAGATATCAAAGGTGAGGTCATTAGCTGGGTTCAGTGGCTCATGTCTATAATCCAACTACTCAGGAGGCTGAGATCAGAAGATCGTGATTAGAAGTGAGCCTGGGGAAAGAAAGTCCCTGAGACTCTTACCTGCAATTATCCACCAAAAAGCAGAAGTAGAGCTGTGGCGCAAAGTGGTAGAATGCTAGCATTTAGCAACAAAGGTCAGGAACAGGGCCCAAACCCTGATTTCAAGCCCCACAACTGACAAAAAAAAATAACACCAAAACCAGACAAATAAAGGAATAAACAAAAAAGACAAAGAATCACAGTGTCAGTGAAGGAAGGCTGCTCCCTGGTCAGACACACAGCACACATACTGCAGGTGTGGGGATACAATATCCAGACACATGTCTTAGACTGAAAGAAGAGCTGAGTGCTCTGTGATCATTGTGGGAAATCTACCAATATTTGACAGTTTCTGACAGGTTTGAAAAAAGTGTTCTGTTCTTGTGGTTCTTGACTTTCTTTCTAATGTTCTGCTCTGTCTTCCATCTACTATCTGTCCCTGTTGAAGTACCTTAAATGTCTTAAAATGTTGCTTATGCCATTTTCTGTTTAATAATCAAGTTCAAGAATGTGACAAATGAGTTAATACTCCACCCACAAATCCTCATGTCTTGTCATCTGTGATGATCTTCCCTCACTGCCCTTTGGTGTTCTTCTGTGTCTATTGGGAGAGATTCATTCTATAGAGAAGCCTGGGGGTGACAAATGCCACAAAAAGATGTGGGAGGGACCTCTGATGAGATCATCTGTCTCATTGTGAGTGAGGGCAGTCTAAATGAGTTTCACTGTTTAGGAAGAGATCATTATGATATATGTAAAGAGAGAATGCCAGAATTGCTTGCTTTACCCTGTTGAACTTGGAAGAAATGCACAGAGAAACTGAGGTCTCCCTAATCTGATCAAACAGTGGAGATGCATCATGAACAGGAAAGTGCAAGGGCATTGAGAGTTCTGCTCCTAATCAGGAGCTTACAGGAAATACGCCAGCCCCAAGGAGGCTTTATGTAAGTTCCCACTGACATTCCCCCCAAAGTTATACTGAGATATGGAAATAAAATTTTATTACCTGCTGAGAAAGGTATAAAGTAGTTACTTTTCTTAAAGTTACCACTTTCATCCAGAAAGTGGCCAGGGTCAAACATCTCTGGATTGGGGAATTCCTTGGAGTCATGTAGCACAGATGTCAGTGATGTCAATATGGTTGTGCCCTGGGAACAATAAACACAGATAACATAAGCTAATTAGATAGGTAGGTAGGTAGGTAGATAGATAGATAGATAGATAGATAGATAGATAGATAGATAGATAGATAGATAAATAGATAGATAGATAGATAGATAGAGCTATAGATCTACATAGATTGATACATATATATACCTAGATCTATATAAACCTATGCATATATATAAAGTATACATATATGCATATATATGTAAATAGAGGCTCACACCTATAATCCTAGATACTCAGGAGGCTGAGATCTGAGGACTACAGTTCAAAGACAGTTCAGGCAGGAAAGCCCATGATGCTGTTATCTCCAATTTGCCAATGTGTCTCAGAGTGGTAAACCACTTGAACAAAAAAGGTCAGGGACAGTGCTCAGGCTCTGAGTTCAAGCCCCATGACCACCCCTCCCATTACCCTTGCCAAAAAAACACAGAACACAAATCGTTAAAATGGTGACAGACACAATGAGAATCACTTAGTTTAATCTTCTGGTCTATAGGTAATGAAGACTTCCAACCAATGAACTGGCTTCAGAACCAAAAAATATCAACACAGAATGTATGGAAAAAAGGCAAGTATCCCCAAAGTTTAACAATTCTATAGCAATAGACATAAAGGATATTGAAGAAGATTAAAGCCCAAAGAACTCAAATGTATGATTGCAAGAAAAATTATTTCAAGTGGCAAAAACTCCTATGCTCCTGGATTGGAAAGATCAACATCATGAAAATGGCAATACTTCCCAAGGCTATCTACAAATTCAATGCGATATCTGTCAATATTCCATCCTCATTCCTCAAGGAAATAGAAGAGGCAATCCAAAAATTCATATGGAACAATAAAAGACCCCGGATAGCTAAAACAATCCTCAACAGAAAGAACAGTGCTGGAGGAATATCAATACCAAATTTCAAACTCTACTACAAAGCCATACTAATCAAAACAGCTTGGTACTGGCACAAGAACAGACCTCAGGATCAATGAAATAGAATTGAAACCCCAGAAAGAACCTACAGACCTATAGCCATCTAATTTTCAATAAGGGAGCTAAAAAAGTAGAATGGAAGAAAGACAGCCCCTTCAGTAAATTGTGCTGGCAAAATTGGTTAGCTACTTGCAGAAAACTAAAGCTAGATCCTTATATATCACCCTGCAGCAGAATCAACCCCAAATGGATCAAAGACGTCGGAGACAAAGCAGACACACTGAAAACATTGGAATAGGAGACACCTTAGGACTCCTTGGCACAGGCCAAAATTTTCTTAATAGAGACCCAGAAACACAACAAATCAAAGAAAGGTTGGACAATTGGGGTTTCATGAAATTGCAGAGCTTCTGTATGGGAAAGGACATAGCTAGCAAGATTAATAGAAAGCCCACAGATTGGGAGAAGATGTTCACTAGCCTTACAATGGACAAAGGTCTCATATCTAAAATATACCTGGAACTCAAAAACTTAAATCCCCCAACAACAAATCTTCCAAGAAACAACTGCCCAATAAATAAGTGGGCTAAAGAATTAAAGGAAACTTCTGTGAAGAGGAAAGAAGGATGGCCAGTAGACACATGAAGAAATGCTCAACCTCTCTAGCCATAAAAGAAATGCAAATCCAAACAACATTGAGATACCAGCTCACCCATGAACTCTAATAACAACAGATGCTGGAGGAGATGTGGACAGAAGGGAACCTTACTGCACTGTTGGTGGGAGTGTAAACTTGTTCAACCACTTTGGAAAGTAGTACGGAGGTTCCTCAAAAGACTCCACATAGAACTCTCCTATGACCCAGCAATCCCACTTTTGGGCATTTACCTAAATGATCACAAACAAGGCCACACTAAAGCTACCAGCATCACTATGTTTATTGCAGCATTATTTACCATAGCTAAGATATGGAACCAACCCAGATGCCCCTCAGTAGATGAATGGATCAAGAAAATGTCTCCATCAGAAAGAATGACATTGCCCCATTTGTTAGGAAATGGAAAGACTTGTAAAAAATTATATTAAGTGAAGTAAGCCAGGCCCAAAAAACTTAGGTCCCATGGTTTCCCTTATTTGCAATAACTAGTATATGTCTGAGTCAAGCAGAAAAGGTCCGATAAGTTGATGTTAGGGAAATGAACCCTAAGATATGTATTCAAATGTTTTTTTTTCTTTCAGGCGATTGTTTTTAACATATTTATAAGATTATTTCTTTGTTGCTTTGTATGTTACCCCCCCACCCATGGTATAATCCCTTCTTTCACTGTATTTGCGGTTGGTATAATATGTGGAAGGGAAGGCAAAAAACAAATCATTTAAATAGGGATACAGGTGGATCCATTTCAACAATGAGATGTACAAGTCGTTATGTGGAAAAACAATATTTACAACTTTAGAGGGGGAGAGGAGAATGGGGTGGGGAGGTGGAGGGAGGATGGGATGGGAAGGGGAAACAAAGGAGGAGGGTACAATGCTTGATAAGAAATGTACTCATTATCTTGCCCATGTAATTGTAACTCCTCTGTACAGTATTTTCACAATAAAAATTAAAATTAAAAGAAAAATTATTTCAACAAAATGATTTCAATACAATAAAAAGAACAAGTATAAAAAATGAGTGAATTTGAAATGGATACAAATAAACAGCTAAATGAAGTAAGACAAACAATGCAATATATAAATGAGGAGTTCAATAAAGATACAGAAATATTAAAAAATAGTTAAACTAAAATTTTGAAAATGAAAAGCTATATGAATAAAAAGAACTCAATAGAAAAGAGTGAATCAAACTGAAACAGAATATCAGGGATCAAGGAAAAAGTAGATAGATTAGTCAGATGAAGAACTAGGTGAAAGGTTCAAAAAGATTAATCAAGCCCACCTTGGGAACTTGAAAGGTCAAATCTATAAACATAGACATAGAGGTTGAAGAAAAGGCCCATGCTAAAACAATACAAAAAAATAGTCAATAAAATGATGTGAGAATATTTCCTAAATCTTTATAAATCCAGGTACACGAGGTTTTTAGAGCAGCAAACAGATCATATCCAAAAAGAATCACTCCAAGACACATTATAGTTAAACATTAAATGTTCAGAAACAGTAAAGAGTACTGACAGCTGCCAAAGAAAAGCAATGAGTCATCTATGGTGGCAAGCCCATCAGCATAATACCAGATTTCTCAACAGCAGAAACCTTAAAAGCAAGAAGGGCATAAAGCAATAGAAGGTCAACAACTACCCATCTAGAATACAATGACTGCATTTGCTTATCAGACCTTCCTCCATTCCTGTGCCCCTAATGTCCCTCCTCCAGTGTTTCCATTGCCTGGTATTCGTTTTGATAACAATATGGAATGATTCACAAATTTGAGAGTTACCCTTATGCAGGGGCCATGCTAATCTTCTCTGTATTGTTTCTTTTTACTATATGTGCTGCCTAAGACAGCACCACACTAAAATTTTAAACACATAAAAAGAAGAAACCTAGGCATTCACACTGAGACCACAGGAGGATACTTTGGGGAGAGGAACACAAAGGTTGAATGCATATGTGCATCTGATCATACAAAGTAATATTTATTGGAATGAACTTCAGGAAATGAAAATGAGGGTTTTTTCCTTCTTTTGCTGTTTTTTGTTTTCTTCCTCTTTGTTCTGTTTGTTCATTTATCTTTCCTTGGGAGTGTAAGGGGAGGCACAGAAATGGAGGGACAAAGGGTGAACAAATGCAGCAGTGGCACTCACCAGACACTATGTTCAAAATGAACTATACAACTTGTGGATGGGATGGGAAGGAAAAACTGGGAGAGAGCCAAGGAAGGGGTGGCAGTGTCCAAGAAGAAACCTACTCTACCTGAATTATGTAACTGTAACCCCTCTGCACATCACCTGTATAATTAAAACTTTTCAAGAAGAATCATTACAGAGAATAGATCTGATTCAAAATATTACAATGTTTATGTTCAAAATTCATACATATGTAAGAACACAGGGTAAACTTCCCTAATGTTATTTAAAAAAACAAACAAAGATACTTAAGACACCAGAATTGACTGTGAAATACCAAGCTAGAAATCTTTTCTGCCAATCATAATGAAACAAAGATGACCACTAAAATCTATTTTGTTTACACCATCCTGGCTGCCAGTACAAAAATTCAACAAAGCACAATTATAGGCACAAGAATCAGAAAAGGAAGTAGAATCTATTAAACCATATATTATGGTAATACACCCTAAACTTCCGAACAAATCTACAGAGAATTCATTAGCAATGACTAGTAAATTTCATGAGTCTACATTTCATGAGGTCATCAGAAGGATTAAGGTAATTATGTTTCTATATATCAGGTACAAATGATAGCAAAGGCATCATAAAAATAATAACAATCAAGCTAGGCACTGGTGGCTCATGTCTGTAATCTTAGCTGCTCAGGAGGCTGAGATCTAAGGATCATGGTTCAAAGCCAGCCCAGGCAACAAAGTCCATGAGTCTCTTATCTCCAGTTAACCACCAGAAAACTGGAAGTGGAACTGTAGTGCAAACTGGTAGAGCACTAGCTTTGAGCAAATGAACTCACGGACAGTGCACAGGCCAACAAGCACCAAGCCAATGAAAAACTAAAATAGTAATAGGCAAAGCCCTATGCATTTAAACAAAGTCTATGAATTTATTTGTAGTCGACTCAATTGAAAACAAAATATTACTTGGAAAATAAAGTAAGGCATAGGTAAATTGGAAGCATGACTCATTAATGAATTGAGGAAATCAAGGTAACATTTTCTCCCAAATTTATCTATAACTTTACTGGAGGCATAATTCATATCCCAGCACAACATATTGGTGTGAGTGTAAACTTGTTCAACCACTTTGGAAAGCAGTATGGAGGTTCCTCAAATGATTACACATAGAGCTCCACTATGACCCAGCAATCCCCTTTTGGAATTACCCAAACAATCACAAACAAGGCTATACTAAATCTACCAGCACAACTATGTTTATCGCATAGCAACGATATGGAACCAACCCAGATGACCCTCCATAGATGAATGGATCAAGAAAATTTGGTATATAATATTTTATATATATATATATATATATATATATATAACTAGTATATGTCTATGACTAGCACAAAAGGTCAAAAGCTATGTACATATGAACATACAAGGTGATGCTAAGTGCAATGACCCCAAAGATAGAGACACAAGAAGTTTTACCTTTTTTGCTGTTGTTTTCAATGTATTTATAATGTACTATGTGATATTTTTGTTTCTTTTGTATGTTCTTCCCCTATGGTATAACCACTGTCTTCATTGTATTTGATTCCAGTGCCCTGCATCTTGTATAAACATTTTTCTAATTTGGGGAGGGGAAGGGAAATAACAAAATGCTGAAATAGGATACAGGTTGACCCATTGTAACAATGAGAAGTACAAGACACTATGTTGAAAACCAACTTTACAACTTTGTGGGTGGGGGAGGGAGGAAGTTGAGGTGGGGAAGAAAGGAATGGTAGGGGAAAAACAAAGGAGGAGGTAACAATGTTCCATAGGGAAATTTACTCACTACCTTTTTCATGTAACTGTAACCCCTCTGTACAGTGCCTTTACAATAAAAGATATATAAAAAAAAAAAGTTATGCATCAAAAACAAGAGGGCATGGCAAGGCCTCTCAACTTTATACTTCACTGTCTTTACCCAAAATTTCTGAGAGTTCTCTGTACAGAGAGAGAGAAAGAAAGAGAGAGAGAAAGAGAGAGAGAGAGAGTGTCTTCTTAGTGTGGAGAGAGTTTTTCTTTACACCTGAGGAGTGGAGGTGTGATAAGAATTTGAACATGGAGAGTCTGTTTGCTAAATTCTTTTCTATTTTCTTTGATATTGTTACTTCTAAATAGGAAACTTTATGAGGTTGGGGATGTGGCTTATTGGTAGAGTGCTTGCCTACCATGCATGAAGCCCTGGGATTTATTCCTCAGTACCACATACACAGAAGAAGGCAGAAGTAGGGTTGTGGCTCAAGTGTAGAGTGACAGCCTTGAGCAAAAGAAGCTCAGGGACAGTACCCAGCCCCTGAGTTCAAGCTCAGGACTGGCAAAATAAAAAGGGAGAAACTTTATGGGAATTTTGGAGACATAGCTTGGTTTTTCTTCCCTTACAACTATTCCTGTTACCACATTTAGGTGAAAGCAACATGTGTCTGGCTCAGTTATTTTATCACAGTTACATCTACTCTGAGTATCAGAATTTTGGTAGACTTCTTATCCAGTTAGTATTCTCTTCTCCTTTTTGTGGTGAGAGGTCTAATTCTCATTTAAATTATTTTATAATATCTCCTAAAACATTACATAGTGTTTCCACACCTAAAACTCTATAAATACAAAACAACATTGTAAAAGATAAAATTTACAGATGCCTTTGTAAAATTCTAACTTTACCAAACATAAGTTTTATGGACTTAGACTTCTGAAATTGTAAAATACCTTCTGGTATGGCATCTGTACATTTCTAATGAGAAAATATTCATGAATGGAATTTATCTCATACATCCTCATTAATTTCTAGGACTTGTACTTATGCATTGGTGACAAGAGTTCTCTTTGGCCTATGGCAGCAGTAGATTAGTCAGAATGAGGAAAAATATATAGAAGAACCCATTGTGAAAGCTGGAGTTTTGGTGTAAAATCAATATGTTATTGTATGTCAATTTATGATAGAGCAGTTTTCAAATGATTACCTGCCAGAAAATCCAGACACAAGACAGAGTCTTGCTGCTTTTCCTACTACAATGTTCTCATCACTTGTCTCTGATTTCAGCTGGTGGCACAGGATGTTGAGCTGTGAGACGTACCTGACAAGGGAAATCCCTACCAGCATCTTTCCTATATTTTCCGAAGTTTCACCTAGGTCTCCCTTGTGCTCCTACCTGTGACGTGAGGGTGCTTCATCAGGAGCAGCAGGGAGTATCTCAGTGTTGTGCTCGTCGTTTCTGTCCCAGCACCAAATAAATCAGATGCAACCATTGTCAAATTTTCATTAGTAAATTCCGATGATTCCTTGTGATTTTCCTGCTCCTAAGATTTGATGCAATTATATTATTTACCAGCACCTGTGATGACAGTGAATTCACAATATCTCACAGTGGTATGAAGTTGGAGAGTAAAGGAATAAGAGCAATGCACAATTGACAGTGGGACGGCGACTAGTTTAGACTAAGTAAGGCTTCAGGCCTCCTGGGCTGTCCTGACTCTAACTGATCTGGTGCTATGACTGAATCTGAGGTGATGAAACTCATCATTCATTTAAGCTACTAATAACTGAATTTTCTCTAACTATTGAAGGATCAGAAAATTGAATACTGCAAGTAGGAAAGTTAGGGACATAGGTATTGTAAGCCTGAAGCAAAAAATCTGCAATTAAAATTTTTTTGCAGTTGATGTTATTGAACAGTGTGTGGGCATTGCCCTTGAGCTTCTTTTCTCAAGGCTAGTGCTATACCACTTGAACCACAGCTCCACTTCCCACTATTTTCTGTTTAATTTGGAGATAAGAGTCTCAAAAAGACTTTCATGTCCAGGCTGCCTTCAAACTTTGATCCTTAGATCCCAGCCCCTTGACAGTAGTTTTACAAGCATGGCTCCTCATTGCAATTTAACTTCTTGTATCACACATTTACATATGCTCAATATTGCTTATGAAAATGCTAAAAGGCAGCAAAACTTAGGAGTCACAAGGAACGAGAATGGGTTCATCAAAACCCAATGAGTCAGCAGATGGGAAGCACCAAGTCAGGTGGTCTAGGGAACCTGAGTAAGAATGACTAGGAATGCATGAGCTGAAGAGACACTAATCATGAAGACAATAAGTGTTCACATTAACTTGTCATTGGAACAAAGGAGAGAGGATGGATGAAACAGTGCCAAGGACTGAGAAGATGGCCCAAAACCAAGTTGTCAACAAGGCTGCAGTTTTAGATATTGAATGAGAAAATCATTAAATGGCCAAAATACATCATTTTCTAACTAGTGTCTGGGCTAACATTAAATCCATCATGCTTTTGTAATCTCCAGATGACTTGCAGTATGTCTAGTAATATGTTATTAAAACAATTTAATTAAACGGCTCCTCTCAACGTACTCTCTTGGAAAAGGGTCATCTCCTTTGACTATATCAACATCACATGCTTTGAAAACTGGTCAAGTTAAACAAACTTTGATAATATCTACTTTATGTACTTTTCTATGGTCATCAAGTTATAGCTACTCTTAAATCTTGAGGTCAACTTACTCTAGAATAGTATATTCAAACACCAATATTAAAGCTTCCATCTGTCATAATAAATTTGGAGATTTAATAGTTGAAGGTCACATAGACTATTGTACTCTAGGCTGTATAAGTGTTGAAAAATTAATGGAAATCTAAATGAATGAAAATCTAATGATTCCATGTCATGGACTAAAACACCAATTTTATCTCATATGTTATCATCATGCAGGAGAAATTAATACTTCTAAGATAAATAAAAGAGATGAGAGTCTGTCATGAATAGATCTACCATACAAGGAGTGCTAAGGGGAATCAGCTTTCAAGTAGAAACTAAAGCATATTCAACAATAAATTCGCACCAAGTCAAGAAATACATATCCTTGTTAAATATAACCATACAGAAAATCTGAATGTTAATTATACTACACTTTTTATTCAACCTCTTTTTAGATTTTATACATATATTTTAAGGGAAGTATAGGAGGCAATAATAATAGATGAATTCTATGGATACCCAATGTATTGAAGATATAAATTGTAACAAAAACAACCAAAGAAGGATGCAATTTTAGGGGGAGGATTAAAAGTGTTCTCAGACACTAATTCACTCTAATTTCACAGTAGACTGTCATAAGTGTGTTATAGTAATCCCATGGTAAATAATAAGGATTCAAATTTGCTTAGCTTAACTAAATATCCCCATGCTGCTGATCACATGTATGGTGTATAACTTGAGTACAGTGCTATATGTTATTGACTGTGATAGACAATTTGCTCCAGGAAAGTTAGAATGAACTTGTGACTTTAAATGAGCATCATTATTCCACAATACTGTGAAATTCGGGAAATTATGTAATCACTTAATCACAATCAAAAAAAAAAAACCTCAGGGAAGGTAGGAAGGGAAGGGATGGTAGGGGGAAAACAATGGAGGGGGTAACAATGCATAATAGGAAGTGTAATCATTACCTTACTCATGTAACTGTAACCCTCTGTATAGTATCTTTACAATAAAAAATAAAATAAAATTTGCTTAGGTTATTGCAGTATATTATATATGTATAAAATATCTATATTATCTATGGATTATCTATATGTATTTTACATATCTGTTACATATATAACATATTCATTATATGTTTATGTGATAAAACATAAGGAAAACCTCTAAAATCTATATAAAGAAGACAAATTAGTAAACATAACAGAAGAGGTGAAATTGATTACATTACATTATACGCATCTGTAACATATCACAATAGAAGCCTTTGCACAATAAATTTGTTAATAAAAATGTGAAAAGCATAATAAAATTATATTGTGTTATATATTTTTTAAGTAACACCATTAAAAATCCTTTATAAGGAACATTTACCATGACCAATTAAGGATCATTCCAGAATTATCTCTTCAAAACCAATTCTGACTTAGAGAACATGCATAATATTTACATATTCTATTCTATATAATAATGACACCCATCTTTACATAATGACACATATTTTGCAGGGAAATTGTTTCTATTCACCTGCCATGTGCATTCTGCTTCTCCTTATTATATTATTTTATATAAAAAGAGTAAATATTTTCTAATTATTTGAGAAATAAATTTTAAGTTTCCCAGGATGCTTAGTGTAGCTTCCTTTATACAACTGATAACTTACTTTTTCAAGCACTGCTGGTCTGATGGTTTAAACATTTCAAGTAACACGGACTATTTAATATATCACAGAATGCTCAAGGATTCAAATAAATGTAATTTTTGATATCTTATCTGTTTCTTCTTAATCAGGAAACAATCAATCAAGTCTCTTGGATTGTTAACATCCAGTGATTCTTCATGGTCATTTATTTTCTTCAAAATGTAACTATTTATATCATCAAAATTTTTTAGTAATGTTTTATGACTTCCTGGTAGACAATCAATGAGATCAAGGAAAAGGTTGTAGATCTAAAAGCAAAAGTAATAAGTTATTAAATATGTTTGTACATACATACTATATACATATTATAGAAAACTTGGCTGTAAATAAAAATGACACATGGCTTCCATCTTGAAGGGAATTTTCGATGGAACATATAAAATGAGAGGGGTTCAAAGATGCTCTAAAATTTAGTCTCATGATAGAGTATCTAACCTCTCTGTGATCACATAGTTATTAACTTTTACAGAGTTTAAGACATGCCAAACTCTAAAACATTGTGAAGATTTTATTTTTTGTTCGGTCGTGGGGCTTGAACTCTGGGCTTGGGTGCTGTCCTTGCACTCTTCAGCTCAATGCAAGCTCTCTACCGCTTGAGCCACAACGCCACTTCCATTGTGAAGATTTTTATAGTTTAATTTTGTCATTTCTCCCCAGGCTACCTCTTCATCTAGGATCACAGTGGAATCAGCAAACACTCTGACTCTACTCAGTGATGCCTAGTAGTTTCTATTGTTGCAAATATGCTTCCTTTCTGAGGTAAAATACTTCTGCTCAGTAATAGCTTGAATATGAGATGTCTGAAAACAAACCTGTGGAAAATGTAAGCTTTCTGTAAGCACCTGGATATCCACTGATCCACCAGGCATCTATCAGAACCTGAACAAAACAATTTATAGGAAAAATCCCTTTGGGATTTAATGGGAAATATCAAATTAATTGCTGGAGTACATTAGCTTGAGTAAATCCTAAAGGTTTAGACATCTTTCTCAGCTGATTATATTGTTTTTCTTCCATTTCTATTATTATCAGTTAGCTGTCAAAGGTTCTCATTTTGACATGTCCACATATAAATAAAATGCATTTTTCCTTTTGGTGTCAGTACTAGGGTTTGAACTCAGAGCCCCAGATCCTTGCTTCACTTTCTTGGTCATGACTTGTTTTTGCTGACTTTCTATTTGGGAGATGGATTCTGTCAGACTTCTCTGCCCTGGCTGGCTCAAATCCTTGATCTTCCAGGTCTCAGTCTCCTGAGTAACTAACATTTTAGGTATGAGCCAACAAGGCCCAGTTTTACAATATATCTAGATGAGACAATAAATCTAGACTCCTCTGCTACTCTCCCTCATCATTTCCTCCCCTGCTTCCCAAACCAATTTCAACAGGCTTCACTCTGGAACTGCAGAAAATGAACTAGACCTTATCAATTAACCTGAAGTAATATCAATTGAAAGTTAATCGAGGATCTTAATATAAAACCAGAAACTTTGAAGCTACTACAAAAATAGAATAGGGAAAATGCTAGAATGTGTGGCCATAGGCAGTAATTTCCTGAATGGCACTCTACCATTCTTTAGGTAGCACTGTTGGGTCCAAGTGTTCACCTTACTAGTGGCTCTTTATTTAATTTGGGTCTGTTGAAAAAAAAAAGATAAGTGTTTTCTTAGGAAGAAAAGATCTTGGCTTCACCTGCATCCATGGTGAGCTCCCAATCTTGACATTCTCATTCAATTTCTTCATCAAGTTCAGGAAGTTCTGGTCTTTATAATCAAAACGATTCTGGAAAACAATGGAGCAGATGACATTGCAAGGAGCACAGGCCAGGATGAAGGTGGGGTCACAGGGTGAGCCTGAAGAGTTAGAAACAAATGAAATATACATATGAAATACTGTACTCAGCCTTTGTCATCTTTACCATTTTATTACTATTTTACTTGTAAATTCCTCTAACAGCCAAATATCCCATTTGAATTAAACCTGCTTATCTTTAACCTGGAGCTTGAGTTGGCCAGTATAAACCAACTAGCAAAATAATGTCAGTTCATACTAATTGCCTTTACCTATAGTCTTTCAATCAGATAAATGCTATTTTCAAAAACGAAGACTTTTACATACCTAATAGTCAACCATTCAGAGTAGCAATATATCTGTTTCCAAAATCTATAGGCTACACAAAACTGAGAAGGATGGTGATGGAATATCAGGTGTCTATACCTTTTTTGAATTACCAATGGAGAGAAACTAAAGAGAGATTTTACCAGAGTTCAAGTACTAGAAGGAACCAAGGTAAAAAGCAGAATGGTTTCATGTTTTATGAAGAAAAGGGGAATGACTAATATTTTTAATTTATTATTATTATATTTAAGTAGTTGTACAAAGAAGTCTCATTCTAGAAAACAGTATATGAATGTCTAACAACATTGTAACCCATCGCTCCTAACCCATCTCTTCTCTCACTAATATTACTAATTTAGTAATAATTAAGTTTAAGCCTGTTATTAAATGTAAAATCAGGGAAGGCAAACAAAAACATAGCATTAACAAATGGGAGAATCTTTTTCATTTTAAAATTATTAAGTAAATTTCCCCTCCCTAAGAAATACGTAGACACTAAGTCTAATCAAACACAAAATTTAATTTGTGGATAGGGCTGAATTTTTGGAATTCTACATTAAACAATATGTACATATATATTTAAATTTGTCTGCCTGTGAGGTTCTATTATTTGACATGTTAATTAAAGAAAACATTATTTTTGGCACTCTGTACAATGAAATGGCTATGAGCAAATCATCAACATGTAAAATGCTACTGACTTTAAACTGAAAGTAAGTCGTCATGAATTAAAGACATTGTGAATTGATGTGGTTGTTTGGATTAAACAAGTGTCATTGAGCTGGTTGCATGTATGTAGGCTAGTTACTGATTGAAATGAGTCTAAGCTCTCAGAAAAACTTTTATCATAACTATGAAGGGGGCAGTTATCTGGGAAGTTGTTGAGATTTGCTATGACTGCAGGTATGACATTCACAGGTTAAGTCTGATTTATGTCTTTCATTTTATTTGGAATAATGAATTTAAAAAGCCAGGTTATGTGGAATCCAAGTGGACAATGCTATCCATTGTAACTATAGGTTAGTAGATTTGGGTAAGCGTGTAATTAACAGAAGATTTTTAATATAAAATCCAATACACATGGAGAAAAAGTGATAGATGAAGAACGTAAAAAAATTCATATATATATATGTGTGTGTGTGTATATATATATATATATATATTCATATATATATATATATGTGTATATATATATATATATATATGACAGCACCTAACAGCCATTTTTGCTTCTGTATGAATTGCTTTGTGCTAGATGATTGTATGGTTTTTGTATGATTTTAACTGTGACTGGTTTTAGTTACTCAGTAGTGGAATGTCAGCCTGGGAGCTTAGAGTTACTTAGTAAAAGACTTCAAAGGTTTTACAGCCCTGACCAAGGGGGCAAATTCCTCAGAATTATCCCCACAGCTGCAACGCCCCTCCCAAAGGCCGAGGCAGTAAGGCCCTAGGGAAGAAATATAATGTTTTAAGAAACCTAAGCAACTCCATTTTTGTTTAACACTCCATCTCAGTTCTGCGACTTGACTCGTGATCCACTTTAGCCCCAATGCTAGGAATTTATGACAGAAAGCCATGCACAATTCTTGGAGCCATAGATGGGGTTTGCTTAAGGCAGGGGTTAGCCACCAAGTGGTGTTGCCCCCCCAGCCACCTAGGACTAAGAGTTTCTAACCAACCCGTTCTTCAGAGCCCGGGGTGAGACATGCCATGCATTCTGTTGGTCAGGGTGTGACTAGTAACCTTTTTCGGTCAAGCTATGGACCAAGGACCTTTTTCTGTAAAGGTCAACCAATCATTATTTGCCCAGTTTAGCTTGCTTTAAATGTAAATGTTAACCAATCATGTAATTTCTTATGGAAAAGTTCCTTAAAGTTGTTTGTTCAATACTATAAAAACTGCGCTGATTCTATGCTCATGGCCTCTTAGCGTCACTGGTTACCATGTGCGCGGAGGACCAAGCTCGAGCTTGCAATAAACCGGCTCTTTGCTACTTACATTGATCGTGGTCTCTGGTGGTCTTCTGGGGGTCCCCGAATTTTGGTATAACAATAGACAAAATTGAAAATTGAGCTAGAATACACTAAAAAAAGACTGGGTAAAGAACTGATCATAATAGTTGAAATATAGCTAATTGAGTCATTAAATCAAAGTGTGTATTTCACAGATTCATGATAGAGCACATAATTACTCAAAACATAAATAAAATTCTAAAGTTTTGGGAAGGAAGAAATAATGTTGGGGTATAGCAATTGTGTTTTCAGAGAAATAATTTTTAGATGAATTTTATTGAGACAATAAAGCAAATAAAATCTTATCTTACACCACTTCATGACTATCCAAAATTCTGGCATGGGTACTGAGAAGTCAATGATAATGAGCATACCATATAGTTGCATCTTTGGGGGGGGGAGGTAGACAGGGTCATTACCACCCTGTTCATTTAGCAAGCACGATCATATAAAGGCTACATTACGTACCCTCAATTATGCTAAGTGGGAAGCATTGCTACTTAACTCTTCAGAAAAGAAACTCAAAATATCTATTTAGCCAGACACTGGTGTGTTAGGTCTGCCCAGGAGGCCAGAGACTAGAGACCCTTCAGTTGGTTTTCTCCTCTTGAATTCTAGAAGTCCCTGCCCAGCATCTGTAACCCAAGCAACTGGCATGCCTGGGTGCAGTGTGAGGTCCTCCAGACGCTGAGATCATCTGTGCTTACACCATGGACACATTCCTTCCCCCACACTCTCCTATATAATTTTTCTCCTCCCGCCATTATCTCTATTGCTCTGCCCAACTCCATTTTGTGAGGCTCAAGATTGCTTTCTCCCTCTCTCAATAAACAACACTCTTCCCTTCAATCACTTGAGAGTTTCCTTTTGGCAGCCCTTGTATGGTGTTGTTAATGAAGAGAGCCCTAGGTACTCAGGGGGCTGAAATCTGGGGATTGTGGTTGGGAACAAGCCCAGGCAAACAAATCGCTGCAAATCTATGACACCTATAGTGTCTCACCAGCTAGAAGCTTGAACTGGAGGGATAGCTCAAAAGGTAGAGCACCAGCCATGATCTGGGCAAGAGTTTAAAGCCCAGAGTTCAAACCCCAATTGCGCCATAAAACAAAAAAGGAAATTTACATTCATGATTTCTGATTAGAAAAAAAGAATCCATTTCTTTTCTTTTTTTTTGTCGGTCATGGGGCTTGAACTCGGGGCCTGGGCGCTGTCCCTCAGCTCTTCAGCTCAAGGCGAGCGCTCTACCACTTGAGCTACAGCGCCACTTCCAAGAATCCATTTCTTAAACAGAAGGGACTCTAACAGAAACACTCTAAAATAGTTACATAAAGCAGCTCCCTTGGGCTGGGAAGGTGGCTCAGTGGTAGAGCGATTGCCTTGCATGCCTGAGGCCCTGGGTTCATATTCTTCAGCTCCACATAAGCAAAAAGAAAAAAGCCAGAAGTGGCGCTGTGGCTCAAGTGGTAGAGCGCTAGCCTTGAGCTAAAGAGCTGAGGGACAGCGCCCAGGCACAGAGTTCAGGCCCCACGACCGGACCCAAAAATAAATAAATAAATAAATAAAGCAGCTCCCACCCTTGGTTTTCCTCAACTCCTCCACGAGGCAGCATGCTTCCTCTTGAACACGCTCTTCAATGCTCCTCTTCCCCATCCCAAAATTCCGCAAGGTCATGAGTGAGAAGCGCCTCATCTCTCTCCATCTGTGTCCATTGCTGAAAACAATTCCTAAATGAAAGGAAGTAGAAACATGGATGAAGAAGTCAAGCAAGGAAAAGGAAGCCGACAGATGGCAGGCACTGGGATGGCCAAAGTTTGGCTCTTTTTCCATCCTCCTTATCAACACATCCTCTGCCCCACTCCCCCACAAATATACACACACATGAATATGTACACTTACCAAGGCCTCTGTTAGCTTTTTCAGCCAATGGGAGCCTGCCTCTTCCAGAGAACTCCTCTCCATGGTCAATCAGAGCTTCCTTCACTGCTTCATATCCATGCAACACCACAGTGGGCTTCATGCCCAAATTCAGAGTGAACACAGGGCCATAGACTTTCGAGAAGTGGAAAATAAAAAGAAAAAAAATGCTAGTGAAAGAAGTCATTATTTGTTCTTCAGAGTGAGCCTGAGGAAAACTGATATCATGTTTCTATTTTTATGCTTCTTTATTTTGGCAAACACAACTTAAAATATTTGCAAAGATCATATGTTATAGAGGAGGCTTGTTACAGCTGTCATTTAGAGATGGCCTGCACTGTGCCATGCAATGGAGCAGGGCGTTGATACTCCATTATAACTCATCTTCACATCAAAACACACACAAGCTTGTCATGATTCACAAAGAACAAATCAGAGGGCTGTGGGATCTAAATTCATTTCTAGAGGCCCACTGATAATGAATAGGCAATTTGTAGTTGAACTCTGCTTATTCAACATTCCATGCTTGAGATATGTTTAATTCTCATTTGTACACCAAACCAGAGGAGATTACTGCTTTCAGAAAACTTCTGAAGCACTTATTCGTGAGAATCTTACTTCCTTTGACAAACAAGGAAAACCGGCAGTTTTTAGTCAGCACAGGTGCTTGTACAGGCAAGTATAGTTTGGGATCTATTGGTATTAGAAACAGAGGGTGTGCCCCACAGAGGCTGCCCCAGTACATGAATCATCTTCAAAAACAATTTCTCAACTAGCAACATTCTTTGCCCCAGACAAAAGTTTTATGGAAAAATCGAGGTGGATTCTGATACCGTCAGTGTTCCCCTAAATGGTCTCATGTCTTTATGTTCTCTCATCCTCACAGATATTACCTATCAATCACTCACAGCTTCTCAGAGAAGTTAACTTTCAAAATGATGCTGAAAAAAATCAGTGTCTAATATGCTATATGACTTTTTGAATTGACCATTTAATCACAGAACTTTCCTTTCAAAGAATCTGCAGGAAAAAAATCATAAACTTGTCTGTCTAACTAAGATGGGGAGAATCATCCATAACATTTGCAATTTTGTGGCTGAGACTAAAATAGACAGTAACCCACTCACATAATACATTACTTCATTCCTTGACTAAAATACAAATTTGAAAAGTCACAAGCATGTAACACTTTATACAAGGATATTTTTTATGATAACAAATCATGCTATTCTACCTACAGCAATACATTTAAAATAAATAAATATTCATTTATATCTGTCAGAGACCATTGGGCAAACATGAAGAGTACTTACCTTGGTTAAAGATTTAGTGATGTCTTTAATGTCAATCTGCAGAATATTTCCAATAATTGGGAAAGGAGTGGGACCTGGAGGGAGCTTCCTTCTCCCAGAGTTCTGTCTCCATATTGAAAAGAGAAGAAGACAGGAGAGACCCAGCACCAGGATAACTACTGGACCCATTGAGGCCTTCTCTTCTTCTGAGAGTACTGTGAGCTTGCAGGGCTGACCTTTTATAATGCTCCCTGAGACTGTAGTGTGCCTCCTTATTGCTTTACTCATGAATTAGGTAGAAGTTTACTTTAATCTGTCTTCTGATTAGACTTTGTCCTGATGATAGAGATAAAAGTAGAATGACCTGTACACATGTCCCTCTTTCCAGAGGGCACAGAGGCAATTGTGATTTAGTTGCATTTGTTAGCGATCAAATATTGCTACTTAAAATACAAGCCTACCTGCTTTCAATATTCAGCTATGGTTGAGAAGTATTAAAGTCAACAACTTGAACATTATTCAAACATGGTATTCATTTTTAAACATTTTTGTTGTTATTCTAAGGTAGATGTACAGAGGGGTTACAATTACATAAGTCAATAAAGAGTATATTTCTTGATTCTCGGATTAGTGACACGTTGGGAAGTTTTGGAAATAAGGTATTCTGTATTTTCCAGGAAATGTATATTTAAACTTGTTTTTTGCTCTATACAACACTTCCAGATGTGTTGTCACTACTGAGACTCTTCAACAAGTTGGTAGACTTGTCCATTGTTATTTCTAACCAAATGTAAAATTCTTAGCATCAGTCATGCATTTTGAAAAGTACTGACCAAAAGTTGCAGGTCCTTGACCATTATAGGACAGAAAAATGGAAAGCTAAGCTCATTATTATTTTTCTTTTTCTAATGAGGTAAAGGAGGAGCAGGAGTACAGGAGAACTGTGGATGCTGCGTGGCTCATAGACTTCACACCCTCGACATTCATCTCTCCACATGACCGCGCCTCCCCTTAGATTGTACCCTGGCTCAGACCGGCTAGCTTTCAGCTTCCTAGTATTCACTTCGCTGAATTGCTTGTTAAATGTTCAAGGAATTATACCATGCAAACCAGGCTTTTTCAGTTTGACTGTGTATATACTCCTGTGCATGCTTTAATATGTGTTTATATTTTAAATATAATTTCCATATAGTAGATAAATCAAGCACTTCATCTATCTCAGGCTGATTTAACTCACCCAGTATGAATTTTTTCTAGGTCCATCCATTTCTCTGTAATTGATGCAATATTATTATTCCTGATAGATTAATAATACATATATATGTGTGTCTATGTATAGTTTATGCGTGTGTGAGTGTGTGCATGTTACATTAACGCATCATGGGTTCTTATTTATGCATTATCTCTTGTCTCTGCTGATTTTCCTGCTGGTTTTTCCTCTGATTTAGAGGCATCCATGCATGGAATGTTTTCAGGCTTCAGTGTCCACTGTGTGTGCCTTGGGGCTTCTATCTCTACAGTCTATGTAACAACTTTTCCGTCAGCATGGCCTCAGCACTCTTGATAAATCAAAACTTCTTTCCATAGCACTCACGTTTATAGCAGTTTTGTTAAGAATTAGGTATAAGAATATATAGTGTATACAGAGTGTATCTTTTTTTATTTTTTATTGTTTTTTTATTGTGAAAATACTATACAGAGGGGTTACAATTACATGGGCAAGATAGTGAGTACATTTCTTATCAAGCATTGTAGCCTCTTCCTTTGTTTACCTTTCCCTTCCCTTCCCAGCCTCCCCAGAAGCCCCACCCAATCCCCCCCCCCCACCAAAGTTGTAAAGTTCATTTTCAACATGACAACTTGTACTTCTCATTGTTGCAATGGGTCCACCTGTATCCTTATTTAAATGACTTGTTTTTCCCCTTTCCCTCCACAAATTATACCGACATCAAATACAGTGAAAGCAGGGATTATACTGTGGGGGAAGGACATACAAAGCAACAAAGAAATAATCTTATAAATGCTTTAGAAATCAATGCATGAAAGAAAAAAAACATTTAAATACATATCTTAGGATTCATTTTATTAACATCACCTTATCTGACCTTTTCTGCTTGACTCATATATATACTAGATATTGCAAATAATGGAAACCATGGGACCAATGTTTCTTTGGGCCTGGCTTACTTCACTTAATATAATTTTTCCAAGTCTTTCCATTTCCTCACAAATCGGGCAATGTCATTCTTTCTGATGGAGGCATAGAATTCCATTGTGTGTATATACCACATTTTCTTGATCCATTCATCTACTGAGGGGCATCTGGGTTGGTTCCATATCTTAGCTATGGTAAATAATGCTGCAATAAACATAGTTGTGCTGGTAGCTTTAGTGTGGTCTTGTTTGTAATCATTTGGGTAAATGCCCAAAAGTGGGATTGCTAGGTCATACAGTGTATATGGAGTGCTTCTATAGGAGGAATAGTGAGCTATGTCACCCATCATCATCTTATCTCTTTTATTTTGTGTGTGCCAGCTCTGGGGTCTTGAACTTAGGACTTGGATGCTATCCCTGAGTATTTGTGCTCAAAGCTAGTGCTCTATCATTGAAGACAAAGCTCTAGTTCCATTTTTTTTAGGAGTGAATTAAAGATAAGAATCTAATGGAATTTCTTTTCCTGGTTTTCAGCAGCCATTTTAAGAGCTCAGCCTCTGAAGTTACATATATGTACTCAGGGCCTCTCACTGGCTAGAAATGCTAGTGATTCATATACTCAACCCTCTTTAAACTTAGCTTTGAGATTAAATCATGTAATAGCTAATACAAACAATAAGGAGATAATTCCTCATTCCCAGAAGAATTGTTTTTCTTAATAAGAAAATAGATAGCAAGTGCTTGTGGGTATTTTGGATTAACTTGTACATACTGGTGTGAATATGAAGTAGTGTCAATATTCTTCAATATTATCTGTGAGCTCAGCAATTTTTTTAAAAGAACTATTGTAGGATCAAACAATCCCAATGCTTCTAAATTTCCACAGAAAAGTAAAACATTATGTTGATGACATACAACATAGCATTTTTAACAGCATTATAGCCTAAAATATTTTTTAGCAACAGTAAAAGAGAAACATAATATTTTTATATATAATTTAATTTACCTTGCTGCCAGTATTCCTTGCATAAACGAAAGGTTTTATTGGGGGTAGAATATCACCTTTGGATGTACGAATATACTGCACTATTGATTTTATGGTGTCTCCCAAGACCTCAGTATTTCCGCTGTAATGATTTGATGATTTTTCAAATTGGTAAAGATAGATTATTGTTTGTGTGTATTTTTTATTATATTCAGAACACTATGTATTTCAGGCACACAGATTTATGTTTTGATGAAAACATTTTTTTCTGCTCCTTTTCCCAACAGAGGTAATTCATAATGGGATAGAATAATCAGAAGAGAAATGACATCTGTTAAAAAATATGGTGCTTGGTTACAAAGTCAATATAAAATAACATATGTTGTCAAATGTTGAAAATATCTACAAAAATCAGTGCTCATTACTTTCTTTCTTTCTTTTTCTCTTTTTTTCTTTCTTTCTTTCTTTTTTTTTTTTGGTCAGTCCTGGGGCTTGAACTCTGGGCTTGGGTGCTATCCCTCAGCTCTTCTGCTCAAGGCGAGCACACTACCGCTTGAGCCACACCGCCACTTCTGGTTCTCTAGTAGTTTATTGGAGATAAGCGTCTCAAGGACTTTCCTGACCCAGCTGGCTTTGAACCATGATCCTCAGCTCTCAGCCTCCTGAGTAGCTAGGATTACAGGTGTGAGCCACCAGCTCATGCTCAGTGTTCTTCTTTCTATAGTATGACATTTGTTTAGTCTCTGAACAATTTTTTTCACATAGAACTACCTTCAAAATGTTGAACTTCAAAATGGATAATTACCCTGTATATTTATCTTTTAGCATTTCAATTAGGATCTGTTAATCTTGAACTTTTGCTACTTACTTTGTATTCAGAAATAGAGACTTGAATTACTGGAAATATTAAAACACTCTTCGCATTCTTGAAAAAACAACAAATAATGGCTGAAAACTTTCCAATTCAAGGAAAGTCATGAATGATATTCATGTAGGAAATTCACTGAAAGTCAAGACAAAGCCAAAGAAATTCATAACACAGCATATTTTAATCAATCTGCCTAAAATTAAAGAGAAAAAAAACATTTAAAAGCAGCAAGAGAGAAGCAATTCCTCACATACAGTAGTCTCAATATGAACAACTGGCTTACTTTCCTTTAGAAACTATGGAAGTCAGCACGTGTTACCATAATATATTTAAAATACAGACAGGAAAGCTTCAAGGAAGAATTTTATACCTAGCAATAACATTTCTATGAAATAATGTGGGAAGGCACCCAGCATCTCTTGTATACTAAGCAATTATTCTACTACTTGAGCCATAACCCCAGCTCTTTTGTTTGAATTTCATTTTTGAGACAATGTGTCTGGAGCTTTACTGTGCCTGACCTTAAACTTATCATCATCCTGCCTCAACCTCTCAAGTAGCTGGGATTATATGAATCAATTACAATGCTTGTAATATAGCAGTAATTAAGATATTCTAAGCTAATACAAACAGTAAAGTAATCCTATATGCAGATCTGAGAATGCTAAAGGGTGTCAGCTTTTAGGCCAACCAAAAAAACAACACTGGACAATAAATCAGTGCAATATTAAGAAACAAAAATCCTCATTAAGAGAAACTATGTATGTATGAATATTAACACTAATGTTCTTTTATGTTTAACAATCTTAATTTCTCTATGCCTTTAAAAGAATGAATAAGATAATCATAGGAAAGACACTGTATGTACCCAATGCATGAAAGTGGAAATCATAACAAACAAATGCAAAGAGGGAATTGGATGAGATGAAAGTTAAAATGTGTAGTTAGAAGAATCATTTCCAATTGTTCTATGTCTAGGATGCTAACAGTGAACTCTTTCAAATACACTGAGAAAAACAATCAAGAGCCTTATGACTGCCATTCAGATTTCATTGTATATATCACAAATCTAAGAAAAGTAAGGGAAAGAGTAGGTTGAAGTGGGGTGAGAATGTTGAAGGGGCTATCACTGATGAACTTGCATCCTGTTTATAAACTACTTTGTTAAATAGAACTTGTTTTGTACAAATACTTAAAGATAAGATATACTTAAAAAATTTAAATTCAGTAGTCAGA